ACCATTCCCTGGGGATCCTGGGCAGTGCCCAGCAGCCTGGGGGGGAAGAACCTTGCCCTGAGCAGGAATTCTGCTCTGCAGCAGAAAATAATCAGCAGCTGTTGGGTCTCAGTTGATCACGAGGCTCCAAGTTCCCTGCATCATGTGCCCCCAGTGAGCTGTGCTGAAGCCATCAGCAGAGCAGCAGGATGGCAGGAGGTCTCTTTTCCTGCTCTTTTCCAGGGGGATGCCCTGGAACAGGCCATCATCAGCCAGGCTCCCCAGGTGGAGAAGCTGGTGGCCACCACAGCCCACGAGAGGATGCCCTGGTACCACGGCAACATCAGCAGGGAGGAGGCGGAACGGAGGCTCTACTCAGGGGCACAGCCTGATGGGAAATTCCTGTGAGTATCCAGTGCTGGCATCCCTGGATTTCTGACCATTTCCCACCTCCACTGCCCTTAAAAATAGCCCCAGACAGCCTCTTGCATTTTATTTTGTAGTGGAATATATATAATTTTATACATTATATACATTATGCATTTTATTTTATACATTATATGTATAATTTTATAATATATAATAGTATATAACTTTATAACATAGAATAGAATAGAATAGAATAGAATAGAATATATCTATTTTATAAAAATATAATTGATAATAAATAATATATAATATATTATTTTAAATATAGGATATACTATTTTTATATAGAATAATATAATATAAAATATATAGTATATAATATACAATAATACATTAAATAAATAGATAATGTATAATACATAAAATACAACATATACTATATACTATATACTATATACTATATTATATGTTATATATAATATATATATTTTATATATATATATAATACATAGAATTTTATGCAGGGATGCAGGGACACCTCTCCACATATCGTGCCCACTAACCACTGGCACTGACAATCCTCAGAGTAGAACCAAGAGCTGCCCTTAATAATTTATGAATCATTTTCCTCCCTGCCAGGCTGAGAGAAAAGAAGGAGAACCGTGCCTACGCCCTGTCCCTCGTCTATGGCAAGACCGTGTATCACTACCGGGTGGACCACGATAAATCTGGGAAATATTCCATTCCTGAGGGCACCAAATTCGACACACTCTGGCAGGTAGCAAGAAA